CGTGTTCCATTCAGAGGCCTCGCTGCGCAAAACCTTCTACGTAATCGGTCGATTTCAGCGGAACCTCGTGTCGCTGAAATTTGGTGAATGCTCGCGTGTTGTAGTTCAAACAGATGAAAGTTGCAAATTAACCTTTCTATTGTGCGCAAATCCAACAGTATAATCCGTTTCGTTTCTCAAAAAATTGTATACATGCAACGCAAATATATTAAAAATAAAAATATATTATTGTAACATATGATTTAATTCATTTGTTAAAAAATAGAATAATTAAATATCAAAACGTTTAGTTGTAATAAAATAAAACTATAAAAATTTTTAAATTAAAATTTTTACACAATAATAAAAAAGTTAATAATAAAAAAATAATTAAATGTGTAAAATAATATACGTTTTTCTGAATCTGCAAAATATAAAAACTCATGTACATCGATTAATGTCATAAAATGTCATAAAATGTCGGGCATTATACTCTAGATTCTATTTTGTATCTTCTATATTCACTCAAAGAATGAACTTACACAGATTTTTTATATTACTAATTATATATTATGCTCCATTCCATGAGGTAGTTTTAATGAAACATATTTATATTCATCCTTTCTTCGCTTTTGTAATCTTCTTTTATTTTTTTTTTTTTTTTTTTTAGAAAGAGTTTCGTTCTCTTTCTTTCGATTTATACAGGTTAAATGAACTAAACGTCGAATGTATGCTATATATAGCCCCCTCCCCCGTTGTGTTTGTACGTGCCCGTGATTCTCTTGGGAACAATGGAGATGAAAATCGACGCACACGTGTCTTGCTTAAGGATGATAAACTTGAGAACTTCTCGTAATATGTTTTGATTATATTTCGAACAAATTTCGTCTTCTAAATAATCTACGAAATACTCTTAAGCTACCTTCCGCTCATTAATTAAATTAACTTTATCAATCAATTTTCTCTTATTCAAATTTTTATACGCCGATAAAAATTAATAAGAAAGTTCGTTATGGCCGAAAGTCGCGCAATTTTTACTTCACTAGTGGATAACAGCTCTGAACTCCGGGCACGCTGCAGATTAAAAAATGGAAAAAAATTACGAAAGTAGAACATATGTTACCGTTCCTAAAGTTTAAGAAAAAAAAAAAATACTTTTAAAGATTCTGTTATACCGATCTTATTGCACATTTTAAGACGTAAAATATAAAAACAATTGAAATGGAATGCGATATATGTTAATAATTATGCATCATTAGAAATTTTTACTTTTTTTCCGATGCAAGATTCCGATTAGTTCGTGCGGGCTCATTTTATTGAACGATAACGTAATTTCGATAACATGAGACAGGCATCAAAGCGGCACACGCGGCACAGTCATTAACGTACGGAAACAATGACAGAGAGACGAAGGGTCTCTTAGTACATCGCATTATATACGCCTCGTCGACGAACTCATTAAAGTTGCTGACCGTGTCGCGTATAAATGGAACTCGAAATAATCCTTCGAAAACTGAGTGGGAAAACATGGCGTGTTTGCTCTTTTTTTTGTTTAAATGAATCACGATGAAGATTTTCATTTATGTCAAGTTCTGCGGGTTTTAATATAACGATACAATATAAAATTATAATTTTGATATAACTTTTAAAGATTAATGAATGATTAGCGAATATATATGATTTACAATAATTTTTTTCTGGATATATATCTAGCTGCATATCAGTCGAGTTAAATCATGTGCTACAGCATTTTCTGATATTAAAAATATACACTAAAGGGTTAGCAACAACATGTCAGACAAAGGTGGATATTTATAAAATTAATAGCTATGAGGTATGACTATGAAGTAAGTATGGGCATATTATAAAAAAATATTATACGGGAGAGAACTTTAAATTTGCAGTAACTCTTTTTGGCGGCTAAAAGAGACTATTTTTTATTAATACAGTCACTCATCCTACCTTTTTATTTCTTGATAAAATATTTAAAATGTGATCTATAAAAGTTCTTTTATTTTTATATTCCATCGTATTCCCTCGTTTAGAGCTTTCTCTTCTACCAATTTTATCGCCGTTAATTAATATTTCAGCGCGTCTCGAATTGGCTGTGGAATATAAATACCCGAAACCCGTTATTGCTTCGAGGTTGAGTTTCTCATTTACCCGCATATTCGCCACAATGAGATAGCAGATAATATACTATGTACATGTATATACATCAAGATGTATTTCATTACTCTATCACATATTGATGTTACACTGAATATTGTTGCAATCGAATACAATGGATTATCGATGTCACATTTAATCTGCATTCGAAACAATTTAGCATTATCGGTTTTTATCTTTTGCATTTTCATTCTTTTGAATTCCTGTTTTAACTGGACGTTCAAATATATATATATATATATAAGCAGATAAGGATATTAAAAATACAAATTATATAAATATGAGTAATTTTAATTTTTTCCAGGCAAATATAAAAATTTTAACGTAGAAATATAAATACCTATATATATATACCATCACATATGTGTTTATATAAAAAAATTGGACGTTGAGAATGTTATGCTTAATTCAAAAGAATATACATATAATAGATGTTTCGCGTATTACTTTATATTTTCTTTCTCTAGCTTTCTCTTTACTTATCTTTATACGTCTCTCTTTATCATATTCTAATGTATACTTTTGTATGTTGCTCTTCACTTTGTGGAAATTATTGGAGTGCATAGCCAAAGGCAACAGTAAATAATTCAACGGGCCACGAAGCAAAGGTGTCAGCAAGAAGTGTTCGAGTGAATGCATATTCAATTACAGAACTGTGCCCGGTCAAGCGATCTTTGAAGCCAAACTTTCGAACCGATCGACCCACCTAATTCCGCCTGTGCTTTAATGAGTTGGCTTCACCCCTCCGATGAAACGGTCGGTTTATCCCATTAGTCAGTTGGTCTTAGTGGTGAAGTTCTATATTCAGTAGGATATTTTACCAAGTTGGGGAGGAGAGAGAATGACACAAAGTGAAAAAGTCTGTTGTAATAGAGCTTTAAAACGTTTAAATGCGTCTCGAGATGCATCCGACTATAAATGTCGAGATGAATCATTCAAGTGCATTGGCCTAAATACTGAGCCGCATCACTGGCATACATGACGGATCGAACGTCGAGCTATATCACTGGAACGCCGGGGCTTAATGTCGAACAAAAATATTATATATAGGATTGAAATGCGAGATGATAATAGAGGATCGTAAAATATACATTCGTTGTATTTATTCAAAGCTAATAACATTTGTTTTCGCCGAGCAAAGAACTTGGCCTATTTTAATATCGGTTTTGCTGCTTCCACATGCGCAGAATTGCATTATATCTTAAATTGTAAGAGCATCAGACACTTTAGATTTTATTGACACTCGGATCGAAAACTTGACTCTTCCGCTTAAAAAACTCTTCAATATGTTGTTTTGAAAGAAGTATAAATAAAAATGAACAAAATTATTTATGTGCAAAATACAAACCGGAAGAGACGTATTCATATAAAATATTCATGAAATAAATATAAAGCGATTGAATGTCACTATTTTTTATCTCTTCTCAGATGTGCTTTTCATCATACTGGTAAATAAATTTCATTACAAATATTATATTTCACGGTATAAAATTACACACACAATAGGATATTTCCAATACGATACGAGTACAGATCTAAGAATACTTTGCCTTGCGCATTTTTATTATGTAGGACGCAACGCAATAGAAGAAGAAAAGCCGGAAAAATGTTTCAATGCGTCAATAGTCTTTTAACTGCCGTGAAAAGAACGGAAGCATGAAAATGGATTTTAATATCCCGGCCTTTATACGCGATGAAAAATTAACACAACGAAAACAACAAGAAAATTCTGAAATTTCCATTCACAATTTTGATTGTCAAAGCGTTATTTAAATTTAATTTGTTGCGTATTAAAAATCATATTATTGTTCATGCACGAACACATTATATTTTCGGACAATGCGCAATAAACATTTATTTTTGCTTTGCTTTTACGTTATATTTCCCCTACTTTTTCATCTTTCGGATTCATAAAAATATATATGATTTTATCACAAAAAAAAATGCGTTATGCATATCATGATAACGCAGTTGTAGACGTAGCGAAATATATATGCAGTGGATCTCCCGACGCTCTTGCGCCAAGATTAATTAGTCATGGAAATAATAATTTACCTCGTCACTCGCATGTAATTACGACACAATTATGCGGTTATTTATAAATGAGCAGAATTAATCAACTGCTCGGAGCAACGTAGAAACTTGCCGAAATAAATTTTCATAATGTGGACATAGAAGTCAGCTCTAATCGTCTTTAATACACTCACGTGTATATTATTACCTGAGTGCAACTCTTCCGCTTGATAATGTCTGCTGTACGCACGTCGATCGGTATTTATAAATGACGCAAAACAAGCATGCAAAAATACGAATCATGCGAGAGAAAAACGTGCAATAATTTCGCATGTATGCCATTCAGATATTAAAACGTCTTCGGAGATATTGCAAAACAGAAAAACTAGTACCTTTTTCACGAGTTTGCTTGTTAAAAATATGTAACAAAACTCAATACGCAACAATAACTGTTGTTGCGTTATAAAAACAGAAAATAAATACAATACTCGTACATATATATCTATATTCCTCGCGTTCTAAACATTATAGAAAATATAGATCTTTTTTTTTTTTTTCATTTTGAGAAACTGTTTAAAAAATTTTTAATAAAAAAAAACTTTGTATAGAAAAAAAATTAAAATTTGTATATATATATCACAGTGCAACAGTATAGTTAGATATTATATTCTTTAAAATATACATGAGCCTATGTTACTCCCTCTCGTTCTCATACATAATTGAAATGGCACAAATACATGCTGCATGCAGTTTTAAAATGCACCCTCGTCACGACGTCGTGCATTTTCCGCCAAGTATTATATAACAGAGGAGCAAACGAACCGCTAGGCGGTACTCACCGTCGTTGTTGGTCCGCGCACGAGGCGGAGACGAGCTGGCGGTCGGAAGATTTCTGGAAACATTGTCCCGAGGCTGCGGCTGCGGTCCTTCGAGATTCGGACTCGGGCTGAATTCCGTCCTGAAGTCCACTCGATCGAAGCCCTCCTCGAACTCGTGCATCAGTTGCAACTCATCCGGCTCGATCTCGCCTTCGTATTGTTCCCGTAACACCGATCTCGGAACTGAAACGGAAAAAGAGTCGAGTTTCAGAGTCTGTTCGTTGTGTAATGGACTCCATCAGCGACACATCAAATATACATAGGGAAGAAATGCTATTCCGTACAAGATTGCCGATATAAGGAAAGAATCCGGAATCGACGACGACGACGACGACGACAGTGAACATCGTGATAAAATCATTTCCGCATCGGTATTGATTTCAGCTAAGAGCTTGGGATTGCTAAAATTCGAAACGGAATAGCGATGCATGTTTCATGAGTAAAGAACGAAGTAGAAAAGAAAAAAAATTTCTGTAGACCAAGTGTTAAATTTCGTTCTTTGTAGCATCAAAAAGAATGCCGTTCAATCATTTGTCAACGCGAATGCACAAAAAAAAATGCAGGATCATTTCAAAGGCATTTCGGACGTTTTCTATCTTTCAAAGGGGCGAGAGCGAAAGAGTGAAAGGGGAAGAGAAAATTCCACAGTCTATTCTACGCATTCTACGCGTATTGCATTGCATATCGACCAAAGTCCACGCGAGTTTGTGCGGTCGCTTCAGAAGCGGGTGGATACGCAATAGAGCGCGGATAAGCGTCGATCGGATCGAAACGTAAACGTTAACGCTATGCTCACTCGCAAATAAATCCGCTTCATGGTGTGTGGGTGCATGGCGGCTAATACTTGCCAGTAATAACGTTGCATTTGCGAGCGAACGCATACGCGGTATATCGAATCGGAATGAAATGCTACCCGATCATGATACGCAATCGTTATCGTGCTTACACGCTGCTATTTTTCATTGCACGTGCGTCGCTATGCTCGCAATAAACCTCGCGCATTCCCTGCTAGGAATATGCTCGTGAATCCGCGACATGAAATAGCTGGCGGGGAGCAATCGTGAAATAACATATACGTGGTAAAATGTTCGTCAGGTTGCGAGAAACAGTGTTGGTCGATTGGAGAAACTCTCGCGGAAAGGTAATCCGACAATAGCAAATACAGGTTATGCAAATAATTCTACACAGATCATCGTCAATATAATTCTTGCAATTAATTTCTAAATTCAAATATATGCTATGTATAACTTTCCTATCATTTTCAATATTTTTTAGATAAAAAAAAACAAAGCATATATATAAGAGTTTTAACAAGGCTCTGTAATATAAATATAAATTTAACGTATAAGACGGGCAACAAGAGCAAATCGCGGATGACAATGCGTTATCCTAACGAAACTAAATAATTTTTCGTTAGAATTAATACCGGTGCACAAGGCACCAAATTTTTACTTGACACGGCAAGATTTTAAATATGAAATAATCTCATATTTTGAGATTTAATTTCAATACCCCTTTAACCCCCCTACGGAAAATAAATAAATGAATGCAAGAGAAAATATAGATCCGAAAATCGCTGAATCGGGAAAGCATATATACTTTTTCAATTTTGAACAAGTTGCATTAAATCTTTAAAAATAGCTAGTTTTACGTATTTCAGTATGTATACACACAGAGAATTTTTTGTTAGAATTTATTCTAAAAATCATGATAATCGTGAGACAATATGGTATTGTAAGAATTTTGTAAGAGTTTCTCTGATTATTATTTACTACAATAAAAATATTAATACCTATCTATTACAATAAGATATAAAATATGTTCGATTAATTTTACTATGTACATATTAATATTTTTTTATTGTGATAAATATATTAATCAAAAAATTCTTAGAAAATTCTTCCAATACCATATATTGTCCTATGATTACTATGATTTTCAGGGTAAATTTTAAGAGAAAATTCTTTCCGTGTACAAACGTGAATTATTTATTAATTACAAATTAGGCTATTTGAATTTATTGTTATCCTATATTTGCATTATTATTTATTCTCTTAAAAGATGTCGGATTACAAAATTTCTTTAAATTGATTAACATTGTCTAGAGTCTTGAATGCGTTAGTCAGTGTATTAACTTGCGAGGCGTTCATCGAAAAACCTCTGAGTTTTCTCTAAAATTTTACCGGCTCGTTTTAAAATAATTTCCGCCCCATTTTGCCTGAAATTTTTCGCACGTAAGCCCCCGAAGCACGGATAGTTGAATTAAAGGCAAATGACGCGACTGTACGGGTAGCGCGCGCGATGTAGCTTGTTTACTGCAATTAATAATTGTAATTTAACACCAATTTTGTGGCAGCAGTACATGCTGCAACGGGTTATATCCAGTCTTGGCGTTCATGCGCGTTCGCGCGCACGGAATGCCCATGAACACTTTAAACCGAGCGAATACATTATGACTCGCGTCCACGTATAATGGAACGGAGAAAATGTGGAGGGTGAAGAGAGAGAGAGAGACAGGGAGAATGAGAAAGAGGATGCGGCTGAGATACTAGCCAGTGCAACATTATGCGCCAAGTATCGTAAAAAAAATATCATTTTTCCCTTCAGCATTATAAGCATTAAACAAAGTATCATGTCGTTAATAAGGATAAAGACACTGCAGGTTGAAAGCAATTTCAGAACCATGTAGTGTCAAAGACATTTTTTTAAATAACAAAACAGATACATCGTGGTAATTTGGTATTATGAAAAAAAATAAATATATCGATTTTAACTCTCCCGGCTGCTGTCAACCGATAGATTTTATATATAAACACAGGTTGTTTTCGCAAAAGTTTTATTTTTTAAAAATATTAGCAATTTAAATGGATTGATATCATATAGGCAAATTAATTATTTTTCTCTTTTATTTTTAGTATTTGTATTAATTAATTAGTATATGTATAATACATATAATTAATTTTTCCATCACACTCTGTTATCGATATATATATGTAGTTATATTTTATTAAAATATTTACTTAATTTTTTTTAATTATTCGAGTTTTTTTATCGGTATTAACTATTTTAAAATAATATTTTAATAAAAATATGAAAAATAACAAAATATAATTTATGAGAATAATATATGTACTAATCTTTTCAAATTGTGAATATTAAAAAAAAATAAAACCTTTGCAAAGAGGCAATTTATATATTTTTATACATACATACACACACGCACACATGTACCAATACAATTCATATGCAGATATAGATCGTTTTTTGATGAAAATTTTTAATGAAAAAATAGTACCATATTTTTATATAAAGTGTATTCTATTATTTTCAATCATTTATTTTACAAACATTTTAAAAAATTTTATCGTTTTCATATGCATAGTTTGTTTTTCTATAAGTTATTTTTGAAGTTATTTTTCATTGTTAATTATGTAAATCATGTTTGTTTATTATGGGTGACAATTTTGATTAATTCGGTGTGTATGTATCATTGTTTTTCCTTAATTTCCTTAGATTGTTAATTTATATACCGATAAATTACGGATTACATATGCGCTCAGCGCAGAAACATATAATAATGACGTACACGACCAAGGTGTAGCTTACTCGCGGCAATTAATTACAGTAATTTAATACCAATTTCGCGGTACAGCTTGCCGTAAATGCGGGTTAAATTTACTTTGTGTCGGTACACCAAAGCTTTAATCTGCGTGGATATATTAGAACTTCACAAGAGCGAGAATAATGCAACAAAGGAAATATTTTGGTGGGATGCATCCATAGAATGTTATGCAAGTGTACGTAAGTTAATATATAATAATTATACTTATCGCATGATCGTATAATTATTGCAATAGACTGTACTGTTTGAGATTATGAGCTACTGAAAATTATAAGTTAATTTTTATTCAAAGAAAAATGAAGATACCTCTAGTTATTACTCTGATATCAACACGTTAGACAATATCAGAATCACCAAAGATCCTTAGAGCGTACTGTAGTTACTGTTAACTTAACACAGCTCGTCGTATAATTACGCTACAATCGTTGGGTTACAGGATAGAGAACGTTTAGCTAGCAATAATAATTACGAGAACCAGCAATTTACGATGCGAAAGGCTTTTACTAGTTTCGCCCTCTTGAGCAAATATTAATATATATATATTCAGGAATTGTCTTTCTCTCTCACTCCAAAAATATCGTATCGCTCGCGTGTTCAAGGTTAACAAAAACCAAATACAAGTTAACCACTATATTTAAAAAAAAAACTTAACAATTCTGCTTCTTAAATTTTTCAATCTTTTCAAATTTTTCATTAACATTAAACAAAGTATTAAGAAAAAGTATGATTCAACTGATAAAATAATTTAAATTTTTTAATTTTAATTTCTTTACGCAAAAGAATGATTGAATTAATATTTAACCATCGACATAATTGGAAGATGAAAATCGAGAAAACGTGCCAAGGTCGCTAGCGGTGATCCACATATTATAGTCATTAGATTCAAGTATCGCAAGTAAGCGTCACGTCAGAGATCGTGAATCACGACGCTCATCTCGTCGAATCGAGTTCGTTCGCCGGCAGTAAAGCCTTCAATAAGTTCATTGTGGAGGCGGCCGGAATGAGAGCGGGAGGGTCCAGGACGACAATAATTGTTCCCCAAAGTCCCATCAGTGAGATATATATCGTGTAGACCTTGGCAAGACTGGAGGCGTCCTAAATTCTACGACTCTCTACGCCGCGATTCGCTAATAAGACTCCCGTAATGCGCAAGGAGAGATTCCACAGACCCCGAATGTAACTTGGCAAAATCGACGGAACGATGAGAGTACCTCGAAATCAATCTAAGTTCTCACACAGTCAACAGAGATTCCGCGAATATTCCAAACGACAAGATGCGAATTTATGTGTGCAGATATCTGTCACTACAAATGGATCTTTTGAATTTCGACATCGAAAAATCGTTCAATCGATCATTAGTTTCTTTTTAAATATACATATATGGCTCTCTGAATAAGTGAAAATGTTACTGAAAAGTGACAAAATTTCGTCAAAGATCACGTAAGTATTTCACTGATCTTCAGTGAAACACTCAAAGATTTTACTCAAAAATCAGCCATTATTACTAACTATTTTCTCAGTGAGATTTCAAGTTTGTATTGCTATATTTATAATTAAAAAA